TAGTAGGGTTTACACTTAGTTTTCCACCTATCGCAGTAGGCTGAAATAATATTTAGACTTGTTTGTAACTCATCTTTGGTATTAGCAAAACACTACAATATCATCAGCATATAAAATTAAAATACTTTAAACATATTAACATCTATTCCAGGAACATCACTATTGATAAAACTGTCTTCTAAATCATTTAAAAACATGGAAAAAAGAAAGGGAGATAAACACTCTCCCTGACGGACGCCTAGTGAACATACATACTCATCACTTAGTTCATTACAAAACTTTACTCTTGCTTTTTACTGACGAATACATTGAACGTATGATATTTAAAATGTGACCACGTATGCCAAGCTTAATCATCTTAAACCACAGGTTATCTCTAACAATGTAATCAAAAGCTTTAGTAAAATCGATAAACGCACAGTAAAGTTGTCTCCCATTATTAATCATGTGACTTATTAAACCATGTAGCACAAAAATATTATCTACAGTACCCATATGCGATCTAAAACCTGCTTGGGCCTCAATATAAACACTGTATTCTTCTGCCCAGTTTGACAGTCTATTATTTAATATTCGGGTAAACAATTTTCCAAGAACGTTTAACAAAGTGATACCTCTGAAATTATTGACATCATTTAAACTACCTTTTTATGTAAAGGAATAACGAAACCTTCTGACCAACTTTCAGGAAAATATCCAGTCTGAAAAATTTTGTTAAATAATATAAGTAATGAAGGCATTAGCATTTGTCTACCATGTATAAAAAATTCATTTAAAAAGGCATCCGGGCCACCGCTTTTACCAGATTTTAACTGTTTAATAGCTTTTGTTATCTCCAAATCACTTATTTGTACATTTAATTCATCAAACAAAACGTTAAATTCCTCTCTTTCATATCTTTCAATAAAAATATATAACATCTTCATCTGGTGTATAAAATGGATCGTCTGGGTTATTCACAGCCTTAAAATATTGAGCAAAAGTGTCTAATTGTACATTTGACTGCTTAACACCAGCAGTCCCTTTTAACATATTCCAATAGAGTTTTGCATTATTAAATTTAGCTTGTGTAAGTTTCAAAGACTCAGCTTTGTCAAAATCATATCTACATTTCCTAATACATGTTTTATATTGTGACCTGGCATTAACTAAACTAATTCTATTTTCTTCGCTTTTATTTAATCTAAATCTATTCAACATTCCATTAAAAATAATTCTCTTTTCATGACAATCTTCAGTGAACCAAGGCTGATCCGAATATACTGCATTATCTTTATTATTAACACCGATATTTCTCTTAAACAAAGGGGACGCAACTTCGTCCACGATATTTGAAAAACTATCTACACATTCATTTATATCATGCATATCCACAGCAGAATTTATTTGCACGTTTAAACAATTAAATTTCTGTCTAGATCTTTCTGACAACAATTCATCTGTATAAACTGATTTTAAATTACCTGACCATAAATATTTATAACTAACATGATCATGGCTATCGCTTATATCTACATTAATAGGATTATCAAATTCAAGTACAAAATTGATTAAACAGTGGTCCGATAAAATATTCGGTTCTGAAACATCAAAACGTTTAACAGATTTTAAAAGATTTTGCGTACCAATAACATAATCAACTAAACTAGAGCCTCTATGGCCAACAAAAGTATATCGCCCCATTCCCTTATCACTGCCGACAATATCATGTATTTGCTTAAGTTTTAATTAGAAGAAAGAAGTCCTACAAGTCACAAGTGAAAATACGGAAAATATGTTTAAATGCAGTGAAAAAACTTTTTTACGTGAAAATACGGAAAATGAAATATGTTTGGACTGATGTATTTCCTTTATTTGATTCTGTGGTAAAATAACTTGAATTGTTTTTTTTTAGATTACAGTAAATTAAGTTGGTGAGCGTGGTTAATTAAAGTCATTTCTGCGTGTACGGGGGACGCATATGGAAATTGTCTGCAAACATCAATCATATGTAGGATCAGACTTTAAATTAAAAGTTATTTATCTGATGATTAACAAACTATTTAAAATAGCTTTTATTGTTCTATCTGTTTGATTCATCAATATATTTGTAGACCCTTTAATCTAATCGGTAAGTGTCAAGGAAGAGTTACGTTCCTTACAGGATGTGACGTAAATTGGCGATTATACTATACAGACCGCGCGGAATGTTAGCATACGGAAAATTTAATGCGTTAATACTGATCGCTCAATTTGGTTGATGGTAATATGAAAAAAAAATGACTTATGCATACATAAATTTTATATCAAGACATTAAAAAAATATACCAAAACAAAGATTAAGATTAATTCTTGCTACAGTGTAAAACAGTGGAATTTCAAAGTGAATATATCTATCGGAGTTTCTTTAATGCCAGGGCAAAAAGCTAGTAACTAATCAAATTTTAATATTTTACTTCAATTACCATATATAACTTGAAATGGTCATTATCTAGTTTTCTGTGTGATTTTCTGTCATTTAGAAAATTTCGGCATTTTTATGTGACTTGCAGTTAATTATTACGCAGCCGTATTTTCGAAGCTACAGAATACTTACATTTATGAAACACAAAATAGCTCTGGGTACTGTGTATAGGCAAGGTAGTACGATTTAGCTGCCTTATAAACACGGTGCAACAATGTTCTTTATTAAGAATCAAACGAAAATTGTAACAATGATCGGTAACCTAGCCATGATCTAGTTTTGAAACAGGGTCTTTTAAATATTTGAAAGACATCGATAACATTATTATGGTAAACATTTTCATTCATTTGGCCATACTTTTTGTATAATATCTTATTCAATTACATAATTTTGGCAATTTCGAATTCAGTCTGCCCATCTTACAATAGTATACTTTAGTATCGCATTGCAAAAAATGTAGATAAAATGAAATTAGTAACAACTTAACTTTCATGCTTGTACCTTTCTTCAAATGTCGGCAAACAATTTTTTTCCGATATGTTATTTTCATTGTTTTTTTTTACATATTTTCAGAACAAAAATGAGAACTTGAGAACGCAAGTTTTAACCTTTCAATATGCCCTATATAATATCGCATTGAAAGAATGAAGGTAAAATGCAATTAGTAGCAGGTTTAATATCAATTTGCATGATTGTACCTTTCTACAAAAGTCGGCAAACAATTTTTCTTTACCCATGTTTTTTTCATTTTTCCTAAAAGTCAACCACCCGACCAATATGACTAAACCAACAAAACTGATTAGACTGCAACGATGTGAAAACTTGCATGTCTCGATCTCAGAAGGTTAAACAGAAAGTTCAAAGCTTTTCCAAAATAGCTCCTTGTAAACGATCTTTGAATAAAATACCGTAGATATTAAGGCTTTTTAAGTAATGAACGAAAGCCTGAACTATGTCAATTTTGATATTTAAGTTTACAGGTTTGGTGGATATAGAAGGATGACATTTATAAAAATCTTGATAGGAAATGACAGATATGCAATGTTTAGAACAGGATCAATTGAGGTTCCATATGCAATTATATGGGACATCTACAGCATTTTAGTAGCTCATTTTCGAAAGTAAGTTACCGATACATGTATAAAAGTATCTTTTTTGTTTCGCTCTCGCAAGTCCATTAATGACTGGCATTACTTTTTTGGTTCAAAGTTTGAGTATGTTCAGAGTATTTTAAAATGTTGCAAATGCATCTTGTAAAAGGCACATCTTGGAAATACAGTACCGTCATATAAGCTCACATGATACAAAAGTCAACTAAATTCACAGTAATATACTGTAACAGTTTTGCATGTGGCAATTGGTACACAAACTGTTTAACTGTTTTTATATTGCATAATACTAAGTCACATGGTTTGCGTAAATCAACTTGAATAGTGCAAAATATTTATTGAACCTTTACTTTAAATTGCTGAACATGCTAAGTGAATAGACAATGTCATTATTTAGCTGAACATAACTTAAAATGTTTGGTGAACAATTGAAAAATAACACGAGTAAAACGTATTAGTAAACCAAACTGAATTCCTGAAATGTATACACTAGCTGTTTATTTGCTTGTTTTTTATTGGGTTTTACGTCACACCGACACAGTATAGATGGCGACATTGGAGGAAGAACGGGCACCTGACCATAGCTGTAAAGATGGCCATTGTTATTAAGTTAAAGGAATTTCTAATCAAAGTACAACAGCTGAGCTTTTTTTTTTGGTTTTATTAACCTGTCAGTTGCACTCAATGCACACAATATATTAAAATTCGATAGACTTACGGTAAATGTCATGAGATGTACGCAGTAAGATGTTTTTAAATTTAATTTATTTCTATGAAATAGTTATACTGACCATTATAGCGAGAAAGGGTAAACTACGGGTTTTTAATTTCTAAATGTCATACGTGTTGTCAGATCGAGAGCGCGAATGTCTATATTTTTTTCTTATTTATAACTTTTTTAACATAATTGAAACTATGATTGTTTTTAATATGTTCTGTACTAACTTTGGTATAGTCTATACTCTTTTGAAATAAAGTGTATTAAGAATAAATACTTAAAATTCATTCGGATTCAAATAAATATATGTTATTTCAGTCCGGAAAAAATACAATATAAAACGAGACAAAACAGTTTTTCTAAGTTGCTTAATATTCATGTAGACAATTTACAAGCACTTGGTCATTTTCATTAAAATATACTCCAAAAATAAAAAATAGGTCTAAAACAATAGCAAAAGTAAGGATTGAACCATAGACCTCTGACATATTAGGTAATCACTTCACCGACTGTGCTATTGGAACAGAAGTAAGATCGAATATTTAAATGAGTGCTATAATGTATTCATAATTGACAGATTCAATAAAATCAGACTATACTAAAAGCATTAGGCTTGGTTAGACTGCCCGAAACTACAAGCTTAGCTTGGTAGCAGAGAAAAATTGCTTCCGGTTTTAGCGGGTAAGGGGTTAAATTATATGAAATATATCACATTTTTATGTTTATACAGACACATGTACGGAAGGTATATCCTATTGATAACAACAGATAAGGATGGCTTAGAAGATTTGATAAGCAGTACTTCCGGCATTCAAGTTGTAATTTCTAAAGCATCCTTAACGAGTAAGAAACTCATGTTTACACCCTTGTTAAATATTAACTGATTTGTCTTTAACTGTGTTAAATTCCCTGGGATTATAGAATTCAGCTTTTGTCGGTGCTATGGGACGTGATGAATGTTGCAGCGACGTATCCAAAACCGAGCCTGCATTTTTATACGCTTAAACAATTTCGGCGTATATTGTTGTCTCTCTATTCGTCCGTTCGCTTTCATGGGACATTAATAATGTGGCTAGAGGGACAATAGGTAACTGTTCTTTCTCTTTGATGTTATTATTTCTGTAATGCTTTTATGTGGCTTTTCTCCTTTGTGTGGCTAAAAAGATTAATAGAGAGAAAAATAGAGAAGCCACATAATTACTGTCCCGTTAGAACTTCTGTCTGTCCGTCCGTTTGTTAGCAGGTTTTCTTGTCCTGTCTATATTTTTTTGAACCGGTGGAAGGAAATTCAAACTACTTGACAGAAATGTTAACCATAATGAGACGATGTGCAGAGCGCAGGTTTGACCTTCCTCAGGTCAAGGTCAAGTTCACTCTTAGTCATTTTGTTTCAATCCGGTCTGTATCGTTTGAACCGATCGAAGGAAATTAGAACTTTTTCGCAGAAATATATCTTATATTGAGACGGTGTGTAGGACACAAGTTTGGACTACCTACAATTTAAAACGGTCCCACCCCGGGGATTTTGATTTATATAGACTTATATAGGAGTTTTCGGTCTGTATCTTTTGAACCAGTGGAAGGAAATTCAAATTACTTGGCAGAAATGTTAATCATATTGAGACGATCTACAATAAATAAATGTATATTGCAATCTCTCTTTGTATTCCTTAATCCAAAACTGCGTTCTGTACATCATCTCAGTACTATAGATAAGTTTAAATATATATCGTCCCAATATATAACATTTATATATATATTGAGATTCCTTAATAGCACCGGAAACAAAGATGAAAATTGCAGACTCTGATTATGATAGTTGATTAATTTTCTTGACTAAGGTATTTCAATATCATTAATATCAATTTTATCATATACCTTACGCTTTATAAGATAAAATGAGATAATGTTTGCCTAACAAGTTTGAAAAATGTTACCAGCTTCTCTCAATATTGTAATGCCATCTTTTAATTTAAGAATATTTTCTAATTATATATCATTACTTTGGAAATAAGGGAAAAGATGGTAAATATCAGTCACATTTTTAATGAATCTATATCAATAAGATAGAATTAAAAAGAAAAAAATGTAAAGATGGTAATAACACACTGCCTTTGTTTAAATTAAAGTTTGTCCGGTGATTGTGTGACGTAAGACAAGAGCATAGTAACTTATTCAATTGAAACACACATTTAAACGTTTTAATTATGTTATCCCCACTCATATAAATTTTAAAGAGTTTGAACATCAAACTGGAATAATATCTGTGTCAAAAGTAAATGTTAATAGCAAGTTAATTTACTTTTTTCGCAACATTTCAGCTCAGAAAGACATATGTAATAATGATCTTGGAATGCAGGACATGGGTATAACGGACGCGCAGATATCGGCATCATCTTGGTTAAATCAATTTCCACCTGAAGCAGCTAGACCGTTTCAATCTGGATGGTGTTCTGACATAAATGATGAAAATCCCTATATAATGGTAACACCGTTTTGATTTAATCTGTTTTAATGTATAAATAAGAAAAGGACAGTTTGTTTTGTTTCAGTATATGATATAGTATTTCCCCTTTGAAACACCAATATAGTACATTAAAAGCTGTGCTACCTCTGGAGAAAAAACAACAACATTTTTTATCTCGATGCTCACTCGATGAAACACTTTATCAACATTATACTACTCAAGTTGTTTGACTTTATAACAGGGATCTAATATTGTTAGATGAATGTAATAGCTATCAATAATGAATTCAAAAGCAAATTGTATCAGTTATGTGTCTGTTAACCTTTGGTGAAGTTCGAAACAACAGCTTTGGCCCTCCTTATTTGTTTTTCTCTATATTATCTGTTATGTTGAAATCGGTATTCCTATATGTAAGTCATTACGAAGTCGATCCATTTTCTGATGTGTGTTGGCTGATAAACGTTAATCAAATAAACAAAATCAAAGGTAATAGAAGAATAATTATAATAGTGAATTATTTATATCGAAATTCTTTGACATTAAGTCCTTCGAGACTCGAAACGTTTTAGATGTGAACACAGATAACTAAATCAGTGTTTACAATTATTGTGTGATTGTTTTCATCTCTGTTTAGAATGCATGATACACTTTATTCATATTGCTGCTTTGTTCCTATTGTTGACTAAACCTTTAGCCAGATTACCATTCTTGCCTTTTTAATGCAGATTGATTTGCTCAAAGATACAACAGTAGAAGGTATTGTGATTTGGAACTGGGAAAAACTGACAACATCTGTGAATAAGATGATCTTTAGTAAACGTTATTTACCGATGGGTGCAAGAACCTTTAGTATTTTTCACCGGTCATCCAAGAACACAACCTGGACAACAGAAAAAAATAGAGTAATTATAAAAACTTGTTTATCTTATGGACCTTATAAATTGCAATGTTTGTCAGGACCGGGTAGTTAAAAAAATGATAAAAAGTTAACCACCGGTTAAATTCATTATACTGTGGTAAAAGTTTGTCTGTTGGATAAATACTGTTGCTCAAAATTTGATTTCTTAGCATTGTATAAAAATCTTCTAACGTTTAGCGACTTAGTAGTTTTTAAATCAAACAATCAGCAATCACGTTGGCAACAAAATCCGTAGGCAATACCAGCATAAGCGTTGCAAGCATAAATAGATAGCTAATGGTGTTTTTCTATTATAAGTATAAAATACCCACTCATCTGACATAATTCATATTTTTCAGTAAATTGAAACATTTTTTTGCAAATTAACGTTCTTTTGTTTGTTATTCATTTTCTTTTTAATCTTAGGACTTGTTTCAATTTGAAACATTGCATCCGACGGTTGATCCTCAAAAGATAATATTTGAAGAGCCTCTCTATACACGCTTCGTAAAAATTAACATCATTCAGCCGATGACAGAGGGGTTCAAATGCTTGAGATTTGAACTGATTGGTTGTCGAAATGATGGTAAGAAATAATAAAAAGTGCAATTTGAATCAAGTTTTGTTAATGTAAATACATTTTAAAAGTCATTGAACGACGTCTTTATTTATATGTATTCTTATTCTTATTATTATTTTTATGATTATTTTAATTATTATTATTATTATTATTATTATTATTATTATTATTATTATTATTATTATTATTATTATTATTATTATAAGAAGTTGAAGGAGTGGTAGTCATCATCATCAATATCATCATCATTCGTCGTCATCATCATTCATCACCATCATCATCATCATCATCATTATTATTATTATTTTTATTATTATTATTATTATTATCATTATTATTATCATTATTATTATTATTATTATTATTATTATTATTATTATTATTATTATTATTATTATTATTATCATTATTATTATTATTATTATTATTATTATTATTATTATTATTATAAGAAGTTGTACTAGTGGAAGCAGTTTTTGTTTTATTTTTAATTTCAGATGCGGCAAACTTTCCTTTATTATTGAGTGATTATAGAACAGAATACGGAATTTATATAGGAACATCTCTGACTAAATTGGTATATCAGGAGACTGTGCTAACAAGTATTAACTACCCCGTTTCCTATCAGCCTGGCTTAGTATATTTCTGGATAATAAATTTTAAAGATGAAGGATTTGTAAAATTAGTATTCACACAAATTGCATTGAATGTTTATGAGGTATGATTCTTTATGATATTTGATGATAAAACACGCACACACGCACGCACACACACACACACACACACACACACACACACACCAACACACACACGCGCACACACACACGCACACACACACACGCGCGCGCGCGCGCGCACACACACACACATACAAAAGCACATGCGCGTATGTTTACGCTCAAGAACATGCATTGGCCCTATCTTAAGAGCTTTTGTCAACAAAAAATTATTTTGTCGTTAAATGGAAATGTTAATATGTTAAATGACTCCTAGATAAAAAAATGAAACTAGTAATCTACTCAAGATTAATGATCTCACAGTTAAACTATTGTGAATTTTAAGCTATAATGTTTGATATTGAAACCGGATATTGTTTTTTTTGCCTGTAAATATGAGATAATGGAATCGAAATTAATCATTTAGAAATTAAGAAAGTTGACTTTGATGAAGTTCATTACAATGTGATCATTATATCATCTATGCATTTATTCATTAGATCTTCAAATCCCAGGAGTGTGAGTGTATTTTAACATTTGAAACATACTGTGTTTATTTGCTTTATCATGGATATTTGAGTTAATTAGTTTAAAATTGATAACAATAAGTACGTGGATGATAAATAATTGTCTTTGATACTTTGATAATTTACATTACTCAAACAGAATTGCTTTGGCACTAATTTATTATAATATTTCTGGTATTTTAGTACAACTTTTTAGTGTCATTTAATATCGAAATTTCTTATTGTCAGCACCATTCTAAACAAGTCATTGTTTTCCTCATCAACAGGATATCAATAGCAACCCCAATGCTTGTAAAGACATAATACAGCTTCGTGATGCATCCAATGTTTTTGCGGAGACTGACTATTTGTACAACAACCGCATATCGGTCTTTGAAACAAAACACAGTGAAATATTGATGAAATTCACCTCTTGTCGGATGTTTTCTAAAATAGTAACAAGAGGCTATGGATTCAGAGCTGTTGTCTCCAAACAAGGTATGCTAAAAAAACAAATCGAGCTATTTTAAATACATGAATTTCTGTGTCGAGCTAAGGTAACATATTTTGAAAACCAAGAAGTTTTACGCCAGGAATCTTACCATATCAAAATATAGTTTAAATGAAGAAATGAGGTGTAAATAAATCAATTATAATCAATTCATATATTCAAATGATTTACATATTATTATATACTAGTAATTAGTTGATTTAAGTTTGGAATATTATGACAACATAATTCCAGTTATCGCCACTTATTGTCTCTGTCAAGTTAGTATTTCATCTGAATTCTGAATTCTATGTTAGATATTTTTCACATACCTGCACAAATTAGTACTCTCTTCTTTTAAACTAATGATTTACAGGATCCCAATATGATATTCTTTCGTTTAGTCTAACTCTTAGCAATCTTAAGATATAAAATGGCTTTGACCAACTTTCAATTGGACATAACCATTCCTGGATTAAAGCAAACATTTTAAAAGTACTGACTGAATAGCAGACAGTGAAGATAATCATCAGGCGTAACAAATATGCCTTATTGCCTAGCTAGAATATATGGTGGCACTTTGTGCGTTGTCGCACATTCGTCGTGCCGCCCGGTCGCTAGCGAAGCTCGCCAAACAGCGCATTGTCGTGCGGCGCGTTGTCGCGATGTTCCCTTGTCGCTTGGCTTATATACGAGGGTTGTCCCAATATTCTGTGACAAGATTGTTTAACAGCTAAATAAAACAGATACGAATTTGATATTTTAATTTGTTATAAACCCATATAATTTAAACATTTTCACAAATTTTCATAGATAAATATCAAGTAACAACAAAAATATGCCATAAACACCATGGCAACTAACTGAATCGCGGCGCACGTCCAACGTCAAAGGCGGCGTTAAATCTATATAAGGCGCCTTTCTCAAATACTCTCAATGGCTTTCAACACAATAATGGTACCCATAAATTGTCAATTTCTGACTTAAATCATGTGGTTGTTAATGTCTGTTGAATGTTTGGATGGCATACATTAATTTTTGCTATACGCGAACTTCCGGTCTCGTTACACCTGTTTTAAGCTGTAGGAAATAGGCGACGAAGATCGGTCATTCTTTCCGTGTTTTCCTTAGTTTCGCTTTTTGTAGCGCAAAACTCTGGTTTCGTTCATGCCTTTTGTACACAAATGCTCAGAATATGTTGCTTAACTGTTCTATTTGGTTTATTTGTTGAAAATCGTAACATGTGTAATCTCGATATAGTCATGAAACCTGAGTGACCTGTTCACTGCGCCGCAAATTCTTCGAACGTCGCCATTTTAACTTTCATATTTTATATGAGATATTTTCATTTATTCGTATCTTTTTCGTTTCTTAAGTTATTTAACTAAAATTTTCAGAAATGATTTAAACATAGCAGCAGAGGAAGTCAACGTGAAATTGTGCAGACACATCATCAGATATTTGAAATATATGTTATTAAGTTCAGCCTATTTATAACAAAATGTAAATTATTTGACGTGCGCCGGCAACTCAACCCAATGTCGTTAATACTGAAAATTTTTAAGTGACTAGGGTAAATTTTTTGTAAATGATTCAATGTAATGTTAAATAATAAACTAAACGGTTATATGTGTGAATTATTTTCTATTGGCGTTAAAAATGAACCGGCTATAAAATTTGTCACGGACTTTTGGGACAACCCTCGTACATGTGTATATAACACAAGGGTGGTCATCATAATGAATGTGAACGTTTATAAAAGAACAATTCTAGAAAGATACTACAAATCAATACCTTACTTTATTACAAGGGAACTTTTTTTAAAAACAAAGAACTGATCAGCAAAAATACAGAATTTACAACAAATGAGATTGATCTTTTTTCTAAATTTTGAAAGTAAACCAAGTACATTTTAACGACTTCCAAAAATTCATAAAAATAAAATTATTCCAGAAATATGCAAATCAAAAATCTCTAGTAGTGAAATACTTAATTCGGACGACTTAACATTTAGACATTAAGTTGTTTGGCCCCAATTTGAACTAGCCATTTAAATTCGTTTCTTAATAATTTATTAACACCATTTTGTGGGAAAAGTTCAAAGTTATTTGAGAGATGCTATTAATTTTCTGAATAACATACCAGAGAAAGTTGAAGAAAATACAAACTAAGTTTCATTTGACATTGTTAATTTGTACACAAATATACCCCATAAACTAGGTTTAGAAGCCATTTCAGTTTGGTTAAAAGTGCCTTAAATTTTTACCAGATTGTTTTGAAAAGAGCTTTATATTAAATGGCCTTGAAATAAGTGTACAAAATAATAATTTTTCATTTAACAATCAATATTACAATCAGGTAAAAGGATACACATGGAGACAAAGGTTGCTCCAACATATGCAACTCTTGTGGAAGAACAATGTATTCAGAACTAAACAAATAGAAAGGTGAAGATTTTGCTAAGTATATTAAATGTAAATGGAAAAGATTCTTGGATGACTGTTGGCAATCTCTAATTGATTTATTACATTTTGAAAAGATACTTAATTTATTTCATAAATATATACAATTTAAGATACAATCAAGTCCAGACAGACTCCTTTTTTCTAGATGTAGTGGTTATTAAGTAAGGGACTTTTATAATCTCTGATATATATTTTAAATACAATATCTAAAATTATCAACATCCAAAACACATCAAAACTAATATCACGTTTTCTCTAGCAAGGAGAATCTACGTTATTGTATCGGATAAAAGAATAATACATATTAGACTTAATAATAAATATTTCTTAATATAAATATATAGGTATATAGATATAAATAATAAAATAATAATGTTTAAGAAATAATAAACTCTAAAGTGTATTCAGTAGCGCTATCAATGCTTTCTTTGCATATCTTCAGCCGAAACTTTAATAAACAATACACATATAAACAAATGACGTAACTTTATGAAAAATGCGGGAACGTTTATTGATAACGTTTTCCCGTCAAGCAGAATATGGTAATTTCTTCCGTAAAATTATAATATTACGGACATTTAGCATAATTCGTACAATCTTGCAGTGAATTAATGACATTTATTGAAAGGAAGGTAATATCACATGTAAATGATTTTATGGCCACAAATCGCATTGTAATTAACAATGTTTACTGAATAAATATTGGTTAATAAACGAGCAATATGACTGAATTAAAACGTCAGCGTTTCTTTCATAATTAAAATTGAGCTTTAAGCTGTGGTTTTAATAATTTGATAAGAAGTTTTTTTTTCTTCTCGAAAAAAGGCACTTTCGTTTAATATTTTATACAGAGGAAAAATGTTAAATTTACTTCCTGAACATTTATGTATGTGTTTAATGACTTGCAACATTCTGAGTTCCTCTTTGTTTGTTTGTTGCCTATGTAAAGTCATACGTTTACATAATTCATTTTGTTTTGGCCAATATAAAACTGTTTACAGTTGTCACAAATTATTGAATATATCACATTTTTTGAAATACAGTTCATAATTGTTTGATCTCAAACTTTGCATTAGAAGGGCATGTCTTACACATCCTCCTGTTGCATTTTGAAACTGTTGCTACAGTATTATTTTTCATGTCCAACTTTGAATGGGTTAAGAAGTGTTGAAGATTGTTTGCCTGTCTTCTACTGTTTATAATACGCTTTTTTTGTAAAACATTCTTCATCCTTTCACTTTTTCGTAACAAATTCTCACAAGATCAAACTGCCTGGGAAATATTGGTATTTTTGGGATTAAATGTTGTTACACGTGGAATTACATTGTACTTATTGTTAACTGTTATGTTTTCTTCAGGTTTGATGGGACCTTTCAATTTGGCTTTAGATATTCCGTATGAAATAATTTCATCTTGGTAATTCTGAGTTTTAAGTCTTGTAGTTAATTCTGAGGGGCGCTTTTTCATTTATTTCATATCTGAAGTATAACAATACAAACATACACATAAACATTGAATTCATAGACTTATACCTATATTTTCAAAAAACAAAAAATTACAAAGTATAGAACACCAATTCACTCCATATTTCCACCACATAAATTATATTCATTCATTTCGAATAATAGAAAGCATATTTAAGATAAAAAATGAAATTTTAAAGTATATATAAAAGACATTTTAACATTATTTGTAGAAAAAGAAGAGAGTAAAAAAAGGAAATTTGAAGTTTATTAAAAATGATTTAACATTATTGGAGTAAAAATAAGAAGAGAGAGATCAACAACAAAGAAAAGGTCAGAGAAATATACATACACAAACATACATTCAGGTATTCAATACAAACTTTTTTTACCTACATACATACAAAACATAAAAACACAAAAAAGAGACAAGAAAAGGATAAAGCGAGCTAATTTCAATTATTTTTCTTACGCTTATGGTTTTGAATTTATTTCTAACTTTCGCTTACTCTTGGTTTGTAGGTTAGAGTGTTAAACAAGTTACTCCATTTTTGTTTATGTGATTCAACGTTATCATTTAGAAAAGCAATTTCCTCTTCAATTTGTATTCTCAATAACAAAATGTTTTTGAAAATATCAAAAGTTAGTTCATGATTTTGGTATTTCATTTTAAGGATAAATTATTCAAAAGTATGATGAAATAATTTACTTAAATACTATTAATATTGTTTTTTAGTTCTCGAAAAAACACTGTTTCTAAATTATATGAGAAAACGATATTGATTAATAAGAGAAAAGAATGTAATTTTGACCATAAATTTTGTATAATAGTAAATTCCCAAAAAAGATGGTAAAGCATTTCTAAATTGCAACCACAAAAATCACATATACTTGAATTTCAAAGGCTATGTTTAAATATCATTGTATTAGTTGGAATACGTCTATGAATAAATTTGTATTGAAACTTTCTCAATATATGGTTCCATTTAAAAGTACTACAGATGTGTCATTGAGAAAGTTTCAATACAAATTTATTCATAGACGTATTCCAACTAATACAATGATATTTAAGGTTCAAAAATACAAAAATATATATATTTTGCCCCATTTCTCTTCATTTGTATTTTTGAACCTTTCATCATTTTCAAGTTGAATATTATATAAAAGCTTATTTACAGATTTTGATTTTTTAACTTTATTAAGGAGTGTATCTTGTACTTGTATTTCTTGTAGATTTCAGACTATCAAGATATCCTTTTGGTATATTATTCACAAGCATGTAATATTTTAAAAAACTCAGCATTTTCCACATCATAGATATTTTTAAGGTCTTAAAATTTGTAGAGTTAATTTTTCCTAAAATCATTTAGATGATCTAAATATAGAATACCTTTATTATGCCATGTTTTATAGTACTCAAATTCATTATCAATTTTAATATTCGAATTATTCCATATTTATATGATTAAGGCTATCTATTTTATTATTGTGTTCTTGTTGAATATGAAACCATGACGACAGCACATTGTTAATGTATGAATTATAAGGAAATATCTCATTTCGAAAGATTACAGTCAAATAAAAGGTCATTTCCATACTGTTTCATCTTTTGATTTATAAAAAGTTTCCATAATCCTTTATTGTCCTCATTTATATATCTTTAAACCACCATTTTTAACATTAAGTTTTAATGTTTTACATGTGATTTCTTCTGGCTTGCCATCCCAAAGAAACAGAATTTTTTATTGAAATATTGCTTTAATTATTTCTTTTATCTTATTATGCGATGAGTTTCCTAAAACTAAAAATGGATACAACAGGCAAATGTTTTTATTACCATCACTTTACCCATAAGGGTCAGTTTTCTGTGTTGCCTTTGTATTAAGAAAACAAAAAAGTTTCATAATTTTTGTTCTTAATTTATATCTGCATTTTTTGTGTAAATAGACGAGAAAATAATACCTAGAGTTTTTGTTGAATCAGATGTACAATTGAATTTTTTATGTTAACAAAGTTCTATATCACTTTTTGTGAGCGATTGTGAGCGATCCGACTCGTAGAACTGTAGATTTTTTTTGTATTAAGTTTTAATCCAGTGATTTTGCTAAATCTGTTATGACATATACAAGTTTTTCAAAAGACTTCACTGGTCAATCATTATCAAATGTTGCATCATCTGCAAAAAAGATTGCTTTATTGTTTTATTCGCGATTTCTATTCCTCTAATTTCGCTATCCTTTTCTATGAAATTTGATAGTATTTCTATACATAAGATAAATAATAAAGACGATAATGGACATCCCTGACAAACATCCCTTTCTATTGTGTCAGGGTCTTATTTAGTGGCCTGATTAGTTGATGAAATCACTTACTCAAGTATAGCGCGGCTTTCGATACTTTTGTGGAAGACATGTTGATTGTTTTTGTGGAAATGTTTTAACTATTTGTGGGTAACTTTGGTATGTATTTTATTTCAGTAATGTATTCATATTTGCAGTGTACTTTGTTCTTCATGTGGAGTTATTAGCATTAAAGTAAATACTTTCTGACACCGTCTGTGACTCATTTTATTTATTGACATAAAGCGATTGAACATGTACCTTAAAATGGCAGTATTTACTCCAACAATTAATAATAATAATATAAAATCTTAACAATGTCACATCCCTGAAACCTGTGCACATGATTCTTATTTTGATTGCCTTTTAACAGTTGAAGGGTGTACACGTGTGCAGTGCACGGGAAAGGTTGTTGTTTATGTGAGCAGGTCCATAACTTGGTAAGTTTATAAACAATGTATTTGTGTATTGTATTTATGATGAAAATACCTTTTTGTATAAATTGAATATTTTATGTTCAACATAGAATATTGTGATTTGTGGATCGTGTTGATTATGTAAAGTGATGACTGATTAATGGACCACTAGGCACACCAGAGTATTTCGATAAACATTGTATGTATATTACTACTTTCTGATTATGTATATTGTAATACTATGTACATGATAGTTTTCAGGCTTTAGCCAGTATTGTATTATTTATCATTTGATTTTATGTATTTGCAGGTCCCTGACTTATTCTACTGTAATGCTGTACTGCTGTGTCCTTTTATGATAGACTGTATTTGAAGTGAACAGTGACACATTAAAAATTTCAAATAAAAAGAAGAACCCAAAATACTTTGGTTGTATTTATTTTATTAAAATAACCTTTATCTGTATAAACATTCATTATTATTTTTTTCTTCTTTTAATATTTCTTTTATTTCTATTATTTGTTTATTTTCTACTTTTAACTTTTTTCTCTGCTTGTCTTTTTTCTAAATTTGCAAGATATTTACTATTTTATGCCGTTGTGTTCTACATGAAGAGCTCTTGCTCTTAAAATTGAGCCATTTACACCATATTCATATATTTCATCAAGTTCTTTTTTTTAAACAATAAAATTTCATTTTCAAAATTTTCATCCTCACTTTCTTTATAGGTATCAATTGTAAGAATTTTTTCTTCTATTTGTTTTATTTCATTAATCAAATTTAACTCTTGTTCTTTTTCTTTCTTTTTCTTAAAACTTGCATAACGTATATTTCATTTCTTATTGCACCTTTTATTATCTTCCACAAATTATTTGGATTGGATGTTTTATTTATTTCTGCTGTTGAATATATAATTTCTTTAATTTGACTTTGATAAACTTCATCTAATTATAAAGGACTGTTCATTTTAAAGTATCAAGGTCCTTCTTTCACTGCATTATCATTTATTGTACAGCTATGGGTACTTTGGTACTTGGATATATCTAGAGAAAACATTTTACGAAAGATTATCAACAATACACGGCAACGAATTATTTTTAAACTACATTAAAATGAATCGGAAAAGACTTTTGGATGATTGTTTTCTTTAATAGTCGGGAAAATATTAACACAGACGATTAGTTAAGAGAAATAAACAATTAACACCCCTGTATTCAATTAACGATGAATAAAATTGAAACAAGCATGCAATTTTTAGATTTTTAGATGTATTAGTTATGAAATCTGAAACACATATAACAACAGATATCTACAGTAAATCGACGGACACATACAACTTCCTCAGCTTTAAATCGTGTCATCCGAAACATACAAAGTTAAACATTTCTTTCAAGAATCATAACTATAGTAAGAGAAGAAACATACAAGAAAAGCGCCCCTCAGAACTATATTCAAGACTTAAAAATCAAAAATCAAAATGAAATTATTATATACGGAATATCTAAAGCCAAATTAAGAGGTCCAATCAAACCTGAAGAAAAAACATAACAGCTAACAAGTACAACGTAATTTCATGTTTTACAACATTTAATCCCAAAAATACTAATATTTCCCAAGCAATTCGATCTTGTTAGAATGTGTTACAAAAGAGTGGAAGGATGAACAGTTTTTACAAAAAAAGCATATTTTAAACAGTAAAAGAGAGGCAAAAAGTCATCAAAACATCTTAACCTTTTCAAAGTTCGACATGAAAAATAATACTGTAGCAACAGTTTCTAAATGCAATAGGAGTAGGTTTAACACATGCCCTTCTTTATTGAAGGAAATGAAATAAAATATTGTAACAGTAAGACATTTAAGATCAAACAAAGATTTTAGCCGGGCGACAACATGACAAGGCGGAGTAAGACGCCGCCAAAAACGCGCCGTTTGTCGTATATCCTTAGCGACAGGACGACAAGACGAAAGTTTGACAATCCCGCACAAAAAAGTTCCTCATCAGCTACCATAAGAATCATTTGCCGCCAGGAATTTTAGGAAAATCATTTACATGTATTAAAGGGAGTCTACTAAGGTTTTTTCACGTGTCAGGACTGGGAACATTTTCTCGAGATTTGTGAATAATTTGATGAAGGTCTTTACTAATAACTTGTATGCAGATTTTCAGTTCATTCCCTCATTCCGTTTTTCTAGAATAAATATTCTTTTTGCGCAAAATGGCAAGAAAATGAAAAGGGTTGTAATGCTTTTCACTCAAATTCGGCTAAGAATAGCACAGAAAATCGATATTCAAGTTCAATTCTTAGTATATTTTTATGTTATTCTTTGCAAACTTTACCATTTTAGTGTTCCACTTGATACTTTAAAGATTTTCAAACTTTTGTTTTTAGACCTTTGAACTTCAGTGGAATTCCTTTTAACTGTGATATATCTGTTTTTTACACGTATGAAAGTGTTATTTAAGAATGATTATACTTTACCCCGTGAAGACTTATTATCATCATTATTTTAAGTCTTCGAAATTTCACCATAGCTCTTTTCTACTTGAAACTCTTTCGCAGTATCTTCTCTTTGCTTTTATTCTTCATTTCATTACAGGTACACCGACGTGCTTATCTTCCGAAAGCTATACTAGAAGTGGTTCAGTCAGGACAGAACAATGCCGATTGCCGTCAATGTTTTTGACATCTTTTTCCATCTTGAATCTTCAGTACCAAGTATCATCTGAGAAATGGACTCTACACATACGTGACATAAAGAGACACACTTTCTCATTACAGTTTTTAGACTTTTATATACCTTGTTCCGACAGTAAGTTACTCAAGTATGCTTTTATTTTAAAATTAAAATTTACAGGCAGATGAAAAGGAATACCATGATTTTATTTTATTTATTCAAATAGCTTTTAAAGTTATAAAATGAAATTTATAAAATCCCCAGCTTGTTTATCTAAGGTTTTGAACGAATATATATATATCGAAATAATCATCAAACACTTTTTATGAGTGAGAAGAGTAACCCTTACAAATAAAATATTTAAATAGCGGGAAAAGTCTCAGCAGCTCAATTGACGGTTCTTTTAGTTTCCATATTTTGATGCGATAGGAAGCTTGTATAATAAATTTTCTAGCCTACAACAAGTAGGCTAAGATAGAAAAATACGTACTTTTTGGTCTTTTTAAGGTGAAAGTGGAACTTCTTTATGTATTTATTTTGAAACATTAATGGATTATTTGATGAACAATTTAGAAAGAAAAATAAATATTTTGCCAAGGTTGCCTTTACAGCCCTGTCAATGCATCTGATTTCAGTGCTGTTATTTTCACCCATTTGATTGGTTTTGTACTCGCTGCCTTTAGCAATATATGGGACATAAATATGTGAATTACTTTCCAAATTTATGGGGTATCTAACACGGAGTTGTTAATTAACATTGACCTTAAACCGCTCCCTTTACCGCTAAGGGTTTAAATTCTTCCTTGGACCTTTGGACTTTTCAGATATGTATAGAAGAAGTCCTCCAGCTAGCCTACGGAACGTCGGTGTTCACTGAGTAGCCCGTTCGTGCCTTGTCAAATACACGAACTTCCCCTGCCAGTAAAGCTGGAAATTCGCCAAAAGGCTTGTCAAGTTTTAGAACTGTTCACTTATTAGGGGAAATAGTATATAAGCGGCCGAATAGCTCATTCGGTATAGCCGCGGTACGGTATTCTAAGGGCTTAGAGTCCCGCCAGGTTGCACATTTTCTCACCCTGTCAGAGGTTTATTCTGTGTTGGTTGGGCGATAAAGCAAACCGTTAAAATATCAAAGCAAACTATAAAAATCTGAATAAAAGTAAATTGCATTATGTAAGAATAAGACATAAATTATCAAGTAAATAAAATGATTTAAGTTATCACATATATTAATGTAAATGTCATTACCTTTATTGTGTTTAATTGTAGATAGTAAGGCTTCTAAAGCGTTCATCACACTCTTAGTTATCTTAGTCTGGAACTGTTCTGGATGAAAAGACATGTAAAGACATGTAAATACATCCAGAACGTAGGGTTATAACAACCGGATTGTATTATATTTATGTGAATGTCAATGGAATATGTAATTGTGAGTATTGTTATGATAAATAGATTACCTCAGCTGCAGTTTTCAAATGTAAATACTGTTATTTTTTCTATTTATTTCAGATACTAAATTAATATTCATTGATAGGTTTATGGAAGGCAAAGTCTTTTGTAATCTGGCAAAACCTCCAAAAGTGATTTACTCGAATTCGGATAATGTTTCTTTAGTATTGAATAGATTATCCAGTGTAGAGCCTATTTATAGTATAAGGCAACGTTTTAAAGCCGTCTACGTAGCGCTGAGCGAGGAATTGTCAAACAAAGTTGATGAGCAGTATACTAACTTTAACGGTAATATCTTTAATTCTTTCAATACTATTTTGATGAATTATATCATTAAAATGTTTAATAAATTAAAACAATGAGATCAGGAGTATGTTGATGATTTAAAAGAATGAGATAAAGTAAATGTTGTTGACTTAAAAGAATGTGATCACGGAAATGTTGATGATTTATAAGAATGAAATCAAGGAAATGTTGATGACTTAAAAGAATGAGATCACGGAAATGTTGATGATTTAAAGAATGAGATCAGGCAAATATTGATGATTTAAAAGAATGAGGTCAGGGAAATGTTGATGATATAACAATATTGAGTTAAGGGAAATGTTGATGATTTTAAAGAATGAGATCAGGGAAATGTTGATGATTTAAAGGAATTTGATCAAGAAAATGTTGATGACTTACAAGAATGAGACTAGTAAAATGTTGATGACTTGATACATGTAAATAAAATCAAGGAATTGTTTATGTTTTTTACAACGTAACACTTTCCTGGCTTTTCATATTTTCGACGACGTAGGGACATTTCGTGTCATAAAAAGATGTAAAAATGAAATAAATGCAT